AGCCTGGAAATCACATCTTGCTCAAGAACCAAACAAGACAATCCTTGGCCTTCCTCTCCTCAGAACTTGGTCCTGAACAATGTTAATGAGCCCACTTTAAAGGGCTGAGAGCCTAACAGTCCAGTTTTCGGTGCATGAAGGATCTGGAGTTGACATGGGGCCATGTTCTGGCTACAGAACTGGGGAAGAGAACAATTCACTGTGTACCTGGAATGGCTTGGCTTTGGCTGGAATCATGAGTAAGGACTAGACCTTTTCTGGAAGGCGTTCCTAAGTCTAGAACCCCTTCGAAACATTTACTCAACTAGGAACCTGCTACAAACAATACGAGGCCTAGGAATCAAAGATAAGCATCATCCCTAACGCCAGAACTCAACGATTTAGTGACGTCAGATGTGATACGAACAACTAATTAAAAGGAAGATGTGGTCACGCATGAGGCCAGGAGAGAAACTGTCTCGCAGGGACAATCCAAGGTCTCCTGGGGACGGGTCATTTGAACTCAGACTCCAAACGATAAGCTGTTTTCCACAGCAGTTCACTTTCTGGGTTTATGTAGCTGTGGACTCACCCACCTTTCAGAGGGCTAAACACAGGCAACCACTCCCCCCGAGCAGCTGCTGAGGTAGGAGCACCCGCTGTGAGGCGCCGTGGAACCGCCTGACCCCTGTCCCAGCACAGGAGGGCCTCCTGACGGTTCCTTACCTTCTCCAGGCCTCGGAAATCAAGTGGGAAAATGGAACTATAGGGAAATACATGGACGTAACCCTCCCCCACATACTCAAAAATATTTTAAGAAGCTACTACTTGTCTCCAAGTCCTTCTGTTCCTGACATGACAGCCCCTTAGGTAACTTGATGTGTACAAATGAGCCAGACTGGTCCATGCAATAGGCCTCTTCTTACTGCATTTCCTAGGACCCCCTTGGCCTCACCCATGACTCTTCTTCAACTGCAACCCCAAGTTTGGCCTGTGGCCTAACAGGACCATAAGCTACTAGCAGTGAGGCTAGCAATGTCTTGGCTACTGCTCTGAGCATCAGGGCAGCGACTTCTGTGTAGCTTGGGATGCTGGTGAGCAAACTGACACTGAACGGACCCTATCTAGTGACCACAAGTCAGTTTCAGTGAGTCTCCAGGCAACTGTTATGTCCTTGCTTTTGGATTTTTGCAGAATGCCTCGGCCTAGAGAAAGCAGCTCAAGGTTTGAGCTGGCAGCTGAAGAGATTTCAAAAGAAAGCGTTATAGCCAGAACTAGAATATACATATTCTTCCCAGTTTTTCTATCAGCTTTGTTTTTAACCTGCCTGTCTCCGCCTACCTATTTATTAAATCTATTATGGCAAGGCAGTGGACCATGAAAGCAGTGCATCAGCATAAAACACAGCTTCTTTTCTCACAATATAGGAAGGGATGATGGAAGTACCAAGATTATTATTCATGTGGAATGCAGGAAACGTGAGAGAGAAAGGAGGCCGCTATGGACCGGGCAGAAGATATAGCATGAGGCGATTCATGGCTCAAGGGCCATTTGAGCAGTAGTACCTTAAAAACCATGAGAATTTGACGGATGCAAGGAGTATTCTGGCAGAAGGAACACGAGTCAAAATATGGAGGTAAATAATAAGGGGCACAACGTAGGCACAGTGACTACCAATTTGGCTAAAGCACAACGCACGGCAGGCACATCAGCAAAGAGACTTGGAATAATCAGAACAAGCTGACATATAGCACAAGGGTCAGGACTTTACTGAGTATGGCAGTCCTCAAGGACAGACCAGCAGGCTTTCCTGCAGGGGCAGAGCAGTTCATCCTATCCCTTCTCGGTAAGCTGATACTTCCAGCCTAACTCACATGTCCTTGTACTTTCTTGTGGGGAACTTACCTTTCCTTCATCTCAGCAGCAGATATACTTAGTACCCACTAGCATCTCACATCTTCAACGACATCAATCCAAGCCAGCAAGCACTGGGGGTCGGGGATATAGCTCAGTGGTAGAGCGTGTGCTTGGCATGCATGAGGTTCTGGGTTCAATCCCCAGTGCCTCCATTAAGGGGGAAAAATTGCATTAAGCGTTTAGTTTGTGCTACATAGGCAATAAAGGTATGGTAAAGTCATGGTTCTACACTAAGCTCACTGTTCTACAGTGATTCTGGAAAAGTTACTTCTAGAGTTCTATTTTAAGTCAAATAGCAGGCCAATACTTAGAACAATGCAGGTATTTCTAAAGGAGGGCTTGTGGTCCTGATCTATTTTTGTTGATCTGAAATATTAAACAAGCCAACCTAGAAGAACAGTGTAATCTAGCGTGTCTTTTTATTCTCAACTGTAACTGAAATTATCTTTTCCCAACCTAGAGAGAATCTCTCTATTCAAAGCAGGAAATCATGTCCATAAAGAAAAAAAGGCTCGGAGGGTGAAAAAGTCAAATATGAATAGAAAAAAAAGGATAAAATGTAACTGGTTTTTAGTAAGTCATTGCTTGTGGAAGTATTTAAAAAGAACAGTTTCTTTCAAAATGCTTTACCTTTCTCTAGGAAGAATATTTTGGGGAAAGAGGTTAGTATTACCTAGCCTAGTAAATGAAAGATTGCGCCAAATCTTTTTTAGAAGTGGTGCTCACGTTATCAATTAAGCAGTTTGCTAAACTCGATCTATTCCACATGAGATCTATCTCTACCTCATTTAAAGGTGTACCATGGTCAACAAGTCATTCAGCCTGAGTAGTAGGTAAGAGGCTAAAAAACCTGGCCACTCCCACAGTGCATTTCCGAGCGCTAAAAATTCATACTATTTCGTATCTTAATGGTTTAATCTTCCAATACTTAATCCATTATATTTTCAGCAGTAACAAAATTAGTGTATTAAATCCCAAAGGCGTGCATCTTGCTACTTAGCGTATTGAATATAGATAAAATTCCTACCCAGTGTGATTCCTGTGCATATCAAAAAAAGTGCAAAAAAATGTTCTCAAACAAAACAAAAGAAAAAAAGCAAGCTAAATAGCCAAGTTCTACTTTCAAGACAAACATACTAGGGACCTCAGCAGCCTCCATAAGTTTGAAATAGGACACAATGCACATCTTCACCTGCTATAATTAGACTTGAAATGTAAAATGTGAAACACAAAGTGACCAACACCAAAATCTCTTTTAAGCCTCTACATAAGGTTGCCAAAGGGTATCCATATGTCTGTCTGGATCAGTTCAAAATTGCTTTATCTAGAGTTGATGCAAACCACTGAAATGCAAATAACTAGTGTCATTTTGGGTAAAGAACAGTTGGAAAGGACAGTGACTGCTCACTTTCTAAGTGTTTAAACATACTAAAGTGCTTCAAAGTCACACACTATTTGATCCTCTCCCAGGATAGGCCATTTCCAGAGACATCATTCTCAGACTCGCCTAGCCCAGGGAACGCACGCGAGGAGACCCAATTACCTTGCAGCCATAGTTGTTGTCAACATCCCAGGGTCCTAGTTGGAAACTGGCCCATTAAAGAACTGGGGATGAACAGGACTACTTGATATCCAATTCACAGCTAAGACAACATTAATGAAAAAGCAGTGTTAGACTGATCTAAAACATTCCAACATGAGTTATAACATCACAATAAAGGCTCAGTCAGTCACTAATTTCTTTACATAATTTATCTGAGATTTAGTTAGCATCATTTCTAATTTTGACAAGATCCATCCACTAAGATCGGCCAGTTTCTGCCAAAAGAATCAGAGGGTGCCATCTCGAGTTGCCCCCCAAACTTGCCAAAGCAAATGACTTCTGTGTAACTGGAAGTCATCTCCAAAGGACGTGCCCTTCATGCCTCCCTCATTGCAATCATCTAGATATTTGCACAACAGACCTGCCCTTTGTCTTAAAAGTTGCCTGAAGTGATGCTTAAGCAGAAGAGCAAATCCCATGGTTCTTCTGCAAGTGATTTTACGTTTCCTTCTTTCCAGAAAGGTAGCTGGCAACTTAAATGTGACACAGTGGGGGTAAAAGTGAAATACTAACTTTCAACAGCTCCAGGGGATGTTACCTGAAACCTCACACTTTGATCATTACACTGTAACTATTCAAAGTTATTTTAAACCCAAAGAACAGAAAGGCACTGTTTAGTTCTTCAGGTCACAATGCCATCACTGGTTGGAGGTAAGAGAAACACAAATTACAATTCTGACTGTAATTCTGATCCTTTGAGATGTGAAAATCATGCTGGGCTGGGCACTGTTAGTTAAGCTACAAAGTGCTTCATCACCCAGGATGGAAGAGGTTCAAAGTGACTCATACTTCCATGTAAGACACTACAAAAATCACAAGCCCGTGAAGCAGTAAACTGACAGCTAGCCAAAGTAGAAGACATTTCTAAGCAGCAGCCTGGGGACAACTTACACAATTAACTGGCCTGGAAAATTGGGTCAGAATTACTCACAAAGCTCCTCATCCTTTCCCATAAGAAAATGTGACAGTATGTCTTTTATATGGAAATGTCTTTGAATATATGTGTACATTTGGTATGGCCTTAATGCTGCGGGTAAGGATTTGTTCGGCTACCACCTTAAGCAGCGTGTTAAGCAATTGCTTCCTTATTGTAGCATTTTTACTTCTCGCTGGACTCTTAACCCTGAGCAATCAATTCCCTTTAGTCCCTAATTCTTCCCTGTTTTTTGCATGAAATCATAAACGTTATGGCAGTTACTTTTTGGCTTGTAAAAAAAAAACCTATTTCTGCAGTTTGAAGATGGAATGTAAAATTTCTGTGATACATGTATATAAAAATATATTTATTGAACCATCCATATACACATATCCATGCTGATTCCAATGGAAAAAAATTAAAGTTTTCTGCAATTTTCTCTGTGGTTAACTTATAGTTGTTACCGTTTAACCAACTTTACATATGGGAGAACTTTTGAAGTCGGAGAACTTCTGACGTCTTGCAATTACCTAAGAGAAACCTACATATCACCTGGAAAACATCATTTCACTTGACAAGGCTTTATGCTGTTCATTCAAGACATATTTATTGATAGGTGCTATGGGAGATACAAAGATGACTCAGACACAGACCCTGCCCGTAAGGAGCTTACAGTCTAGTAGGGGAGATAGAACACAAACATGGGATACACGATCAGAGCTAGGTTTCAGTAAGATGAGTCTAATACTGTGTAGAAAGTAGGCTGGGGAGAGGTAAAGGCAGGAGAGGCCACTACATTATGTAGGTGAGGGGGAAAGAGATGCCGAAGACCTGAGGTAGAACTGACAGGACTTAGCTAGAGACTGGATGTGGGAGGAAGCAAACGGAAGCAGGTGATGTAGACTCACAGCATGGGTGGTGACAAACTGAGGACAAAGGACGAGGTCTGTGAAACGAAATGAAACTTGGCACATATAGGTCTTGTGCACAGAAACGAAGTACCCCGGATACACTGGGCACAATCAGAAAGAAGAGCTAACTACCCAGACCAGGGATGGAAGTACCTCACGATGACCAATGACTTCCTCCCTTCTTTGCCCACCCTTCAAAATTTCCCAACAATCCCCTCCACTCCAAAATGCCATAGTGACTAAAAGCTATTGCAGTAAGTCTGATCTCTAAGCATGCCATCTGTGAGAATATAAACCAAAATACACTAATTTATTCAACTCAATGAGTCACCACTTAAGCACGCCTCTGTGCAAGTCACTGTGCCTCCTGGAGGAACAGAGGTGAATTCTCCAGTCCTTGTCCTCTAGGAGCTTATGGTCTAGTAAGGTAGTAAAACAGACATGCGTCTGTTCTAATTCTAGGTTGAAAGGGTAAGTTATAAGCTATGAGAAAGGTATGAAGTATTCTAGGAACACGTATTTTTAAATGAAGGTTGGGACATCTCACAGGAGGGACGATGTGGAAGGAAAGCAGATGAGAGTAAGTTTGTTCCTCGCTTCAAATTCTGGCCAAATCAACCCCTAAAAACGGGCTAGCCACTCCTATAAAAAATCTTTTCTCTCTTAAGGGAGGAAAAAACAAGCTCTGGAACTAGGTCTTGAAAAAAACGTGGCTTTGACTGCAAGAGATGGGGGGGTGAGGGGCAATGCAAATGCAAGTCTACCTTCAGGGAAGACAAGGCACTTTAAGCCACAGAATCAGCAATGCCTGGCTTATTAGAGGATCTGTTAAGTAGCTCAGCATGGCTGGAGCATCCTTCCGTGAAGAACAGCAAAATCACTGGAAAGGAAGATTAGAGCCTGATTCATATATGGTGCTGCAGGCACTGATCAGGGTACATGCCTAAGACCAAACTGCTGCCCCTTAGGAGCTTACAGATACAATACAAGGTGGAAAAAGCACCACAATGTACAGAATGCAAAATGCTGAAGGATTCAGGAGAAAATTACAGCTGAGTTTCAGCTATTAACACATTAGGATACCCAATAGCTTTCTGACAGCTAGTAGTAAACCCATCCCTGAGGGGAGCACAAGTTAATGTCCTTATTGACAACAGGCCCTGGTAGAACTGGGCATTAAGACAGTTCTAAGAAAAGAGAGAAAACCTGGGTATGGAAAACAAGCAAGACAAGCAACTGGGTGAGCATATAAAATTTTTGACTCCTTCCCTTTTCTCCCCACATCCTAACCTGTAACAGTTCTGGCTTCCAAGAGCAAACCTAGGGCAGACTGGCAATTCCTGAAGGTGCTCCACGTTACTTCTATAAGCTTATTTGAAACTCTGCACTAATCAATAATTCTACAGGCAGTCTATCTTTTGAAAAATGAAGGCGTACAAATCACCTTAGTCCTTTCCAGCACTAACACTCTACGATTCAAAGAATTCTGAGTCTCTCCTGTTTCTTCTGTTAATAATCAGAATGGGAAAAGAAAAACTTAAAGGCCTTATTCTGACATGTCTCACTGAAAATTATGATTTTTTTTCTATATAAACGGATGATTCCTATTCCATCAGGTAAATTCCACCTCCACCCCTACTCCTCTTCAAAATCCACGATCTACCCATATGATTTTTTAACATTATGTGTTATGTAGAACACATAAAGTATGCATTGAATCTTTAAAGAAAGGAAGTCCTTTTTTTCTTCACTACTTCCTTGTGTCTTCATTTAAAAGCATCATTCTTTATAAAAACATTTCAGAATTTAAACCAAATCTAAAGTCAAACTGGTCATTTCAAAGCTTAGGTGGAGTATCAGTAACCAAAGTGGTTAATTACAGCAATAGTCAAAACTTATATCCAGATTAATTTAATAATTACTACCAAAAATAGAGGCAAACTTCCTGTAAGTGGGTTTCTGAGAAATAAATACTTCTTTAAGTAATTCAATAGTGAATTTTTGGTAAGCATCCCTTAATCCTTAATTTACTTTTTTCAAAACGGGATGCAATCCCTTAGGAATCTGCAACAGTGGACATATTGCAAAGTTCTAAACATGTACAGATTTCTGTAACTGGCCACGTCACATGGTTTATGGGGTAACAGTGGAACTGATTTCCAATACTATTTTCCTCTCACAGGGAACTGAAAAAACCACCAGGTTCAAGTGGAAACTGGAGGAAGGTAGACTGTCCAAGGTTTTAAAAACAAGTCATGCAATCAAAAAGGCGAACAATCTTGATTCTAAGCCAATACAGAAACATAATCAAAACCGAAACCAGCTTAGCCCACCTCTTAATCAGCCTGCTACTCACTTAGGCCATTATGAAAGACCGTTTTATGAAAGCATAAGCAAAGCAGTCTAATTTGAGCATTATCCTGAGCTAGATACACATACACTAAAAAGACTGTAAATAAAAGTTTACATCTTACATGTGCCACCATTTCTCCTTTAATGTAGTCTACGAAGAGTTCACAATTCTACGCTTGGTCCCCAGAACCTCAATACCACAGCAAACAAATACAAATTCCAAAAGGTACTACCTACCTTAAAACCAGAAATCCTCATTTATCTAGTACAACATGGCCATTACTTTCTCAGCAACCTTATCCCACATAAGACATTAAGTTTCTAATACTTTCATTCCTTAAGGTTTCTAAAACATTTCAAGACTAACTCTAATGGTCCACTGCCAATTAATGGTATATTAGGCAGTAACCTAGAAACCCCTATTCAAATAAATGTTGAAGTTGCTTCATTCACAAGGTTCAAAACTGTTATACTAAAAAATTCAACAATTATCTCATTTGTGTGCCGTTCCTGTAGAGATTAAGTAGCATACAAATAAACTTTAATATAAATATTTTTTTAGATCAGTAGATTCGACAAACCCAACCATTTTCTTAAAAGAAATAAGCCACTCAGCAAAAATGGCCTACAAATTTAAAACTTTGATATAGATTCTAACAAACTTTTCTATAAAGTGCCATGTTTTCCACTAATCATTAAACTCTACAAGGGTTTTCAAAGGGATGAAGAAAAGTATCAGAAGATGGCAGGTGTAAGCACAAAACACAACTGTTAAAAACTCACCTGGGATGATGCTATAATACAAGTTTGTTCATCTTCCACATCTAGATTAAGTGGAACTAAATGTGTTATCAAACAGATGAGAAAATCTAGTAAGTCACTATTACTGTTACCATAGAATCTGCAGATCAAAACAAGCCCTACAAAATCAATATTTACTTATCCTGCTTATCCTAAAGGAACAGAGAACAGTAAGTAACCTTGCTTTGAATGTTTTACACCAGTCTAGTCTCTATAGGGCAGTTATTTACCATGGTCATGTCCTGTTCCCTTACTGTGATTTAAATGTAAATACGCAGGCACTATGGTTCTAGAGGAAAAGCATTCAGTTATGGAGGCCAGTCTGCTCCTTGCTACTAGGATGACTTTGAGGCCCAAGTCCTTTAACTGCTCTGATGTCACTTCATCTATTGGGGGGGGGGGGGAGCGGGGGAATGGTACCTAATCCACAGGGTAGTTGTGAAAATTAGTTTTCTAACCTAAAACTAAAGTGCAATTCAACTAACACTGTGGTAGTAACCTACTCACCCAAAAAGCCATATAATTATTTTTGTAGTATCCAATTCACCACTCACCAGCAACAGCTCAAAAAGCTGAGAATGCAGGAAACACAAGTTAAGCCGAACCTCACCATGAAAGCAAACAAAAGTATTTTCATATGGCCCAAGACTGATTTATTTTCAACACGTCTTAAAAGACTGAGACCCACTGAACCAAACTAGTCTTACCCAGTTTAAATATTCATGGGTAAAGGGCCTTAAGCTCAGCAGAACAGTATACTGGGTCATTCCTACTGACAACAAATTGTGTTGAATGTGATAAGCTGATGCTGCCTACACAAGACCTGCCCTAACCTACTTTACTTTCACTTTCAATGTGTGAATGTATGTGTATTCTAGGGCGTCACGTTTATTCCATCAGCAACAATGTGAACAATGGCATCGGGATTCCTAATAGTGTTAACCATGATTCCTATTTATAAAGTCCAATGCTATTCAAAACTCCACAATATTCCAATTCTGGTAACTTGAAATTACTGAAGCAAACTCTTCTTTTCTGTGATTATGCAAAAGTTCCCTGCAGTAAGTTACAAGCGTCTAGTATACTGCTACTAACCTGTCCAAATTTAAAACAGACACATTGGTACAAATAAAGTGAGACTATTAATTCCTCACAGCAGATGTCACTGTAATTCCTGAGAGATTTCTACTTGCTAATTTACTTTTCTGAGACACTATCTCAGAGGAGTGAGTCTTCACCCGAGTTGTCCTACTCCGCCACCCTGCCCACCATGAATTACAGGAGTAGGGATATCTAAGCTCTCAATGGGATTGCTTCATTTCACAGAACATTTGGCATCGCTGGCCCCCACCCACTAAATGCCAGAAGCAGTGTGTGCATCTCCCTCCAACACAGCCCCTAATCTCACACATACCTAACTGTCCTCCAGGATATAGCACAACAGCCCCAAGTTGAGAAACACTGCATCTTGTTAGTACCCTTAATGCTCTGAGAAGGAAGAACTTCTATTTTAAATAGCATGGTTAGTGTTCACTTACAAAAAACGATTTCAGGGTATCCATAATTTAACACCTAACAGTTACCACAAGTTAAAGTTTTTTTCTTTCAAAAACAACTCAGGCTAAGTTTTCTTCTTTCCACCACAAGCTTAATATAAGCTACAAAAGTGCAAGCTGAATTTCTTCCAATTATCCCTGGCCTGGGTCAAATGAAGTGGTTACCAGTTAGTAATTTAAACTGATCCAAAAAACAGCTATATGATTCAGTTATGTAAATTTCTTTATGTAAAGGGGATGTTGCCAATTTTCAAATATTTGAGGTACTGAGGACCAACTGATAACATCAAACTTCACTTTAGTTTAAGACTACACTTTTCAGCAAACCCAGTTTCCCAGTAACAGCAAAACAAACAAAACATTCCCTATTCCTACTCATATACTATCCTCAAACAGTCCTAAAGGTGAATACTGTTAAGAAGAAAAGAAATAAGTTAAATTTGACAACTTCATTGCCCTTCAATTAGTAATGACAAGTCATCACAAAGGCTTGCTTCACAAATGTATAAACAAAACCTTCACCCACAGCACTCAACAGTAACATGCTATATGCAAAACGAGTATTAGTCTATGTTGCCAGATTAAATTTTCTTCCAGAAACATTTTAATAAAAATTGGCCATTTCCAAGTAACACCCACTGCATCCCATCAATAAAAGGGAACCATAACAAAATAGAAAATTTACCAAACTGCCATGATTTAAAAAAAAAACTTGAGCACATCTGTGAAGTCCAGTATTAAAGTCACACTCTTTCTAATGGGCTACGATTAGGACTTTGAATAGACACTGAAATAAAACTCAATACAAATGCTGAACTATTCAGGACAAAGGACCTCTACAGAAGCATCTGTTCTGAAAGGCATTCCAGTTTGAGACTTAATTTCAGAATAAGGCATAATAAATGAACAGAAGACATACAGGGTAAAAGAGGGATTCTGCAATTCCCAACATACTCTGAACCTGACAGAACAAATCTAGGGTTTTTTTTTTTATTATCTTTCTTTAAACAATTGCCAAGACTGGAATCAAAGATAAATAGAAGGCACAACAGTTTTGCTCCGGTTTTGGGTTATTCAGACTTCAAAAAAAATTTTTTTGTGTGTTTTTCCTTTTTTTACAAACAAATTAAACAAAAAACTCTACTTCAAAAAAAAAAAACCTAACAGTTCAAGAAAAGCCTATCAGTTGCATTCTAGACATTTAAAACCTATCTCACAATTTAAATTTCAATGGTAAAAACAGTAGGTTTTAGAATTGTTTTGTGACCACATAGAAGAAAAAAAAACTCCACTAATACCTTTTATTCAGTTTTTAACCATACCAAGTGAGAATCAACAAAATTGTCAATTTTTCCAATGGCAATTGCTCCACACCAGAAGGTAGTCATGACTCTCAAAGAAGAAATAATTTGGGTTTTTTCTGCCTTCAAAATGTTTATCAAATCCTGTTATTCTCACAGGCTTTTGAAACACGTAGAAAATAAGTAAGAAATATTCCAATGAATGAAACATACCAAATGTCAGTAATAAGCAAGACACATTCCTTTGGGGAAATGGCTGTTAAAAAAAAAATTCAGTCTGTATGCGCAAATAAAGCAAGGAAATTCAGTCTTTTTTTTCTTCTTTAAAAATCCGTTTTTCCTAAAATATCATTCCACAAAATTGGAAGTGAAGGATTTAAAGGTGAGGAGGGAAGGGAGGGCGGGAAGGAGCACACACCATTTTAACACAAAAAGTAAAATTGTACAAACTTAAGCAGTTTATAATAGACCAGGATCATATTCCAAGATACCAAAGGTTGGCTGAAGAAATTCACCATTTGGAAGGAGCTAGGATTTGTACTGCTGTGTGAAAATCAGTGATGAGGAATTCACTGCCTTGGAGCCAGGCCCCGTCCCACTCCAAATCCTGGTTTCTGCACCATGCCTCCACGGGGCGGGCCTCTCATTCCACCACCCAGCCCACCTCGAGGGCCTCCAGGTCCCCGCAGGCGATTATCTCGACGGTCCCCTTCCCGGGCGGCTCTAGTCTTCTTTTCTTCCACATTCAGGCGGACTTCACCTCTGAACATGATGGGCTGTAAGAATCAAGGTGAGCAGATTTACACAGAGGGCTTATGGACTACTGACTATCAAAGAGGAAACAAAGCTATTTTAAAGAACCAGCAACGTACAAATCAGCTACATCTTCACAGTTCCATCTCTGTCTCAAACGCAGAACACATAACTTTCCCATTAACAGATACACAGAAATGCAGTTAGGTATGCAACCTATTTAAAAAAAACTCAAATTAAACAACACAGCAGCATAAGTTATTCTCACTGTATTTATTAAAGCAAATCTTATATTCCTATAGAATTATATAAATAGAATAATATAAATAAAAATTGCCAACTTTTCCATGGATTTGGAGGCTTAGAATGAAATCCCATCATCACCAAATGTGGAATGATGGTGCTGCGCATATTTATGCAAAGTACATACATGTTTCAAAAACATCACAAATTTCATCTAAATATAACTTTAACAAAATGCTATCTAACTTAATAGAATCTTGAAAAATACTTAAGATAATAAACATATCAGATCTTAGCAAAGAAAAAGAAGATACACCCACACTAAGTCTTAGGCCTTCTTTTTCACCAACAGAGCTAAAGTAGACAACAAAGGGGGTTCTCAAGGTTCCAATGAACTTGATTTATGCTCCATGCTGGCATTCACTGCTTTTCTAACTGAAGTATTTTTTTAAATAAAGATTCAACAGTTCTTACTATGCACAAATGTTCTAGATGCTTGACATTTGTTATCTCATTTAATCTTCATTAACAACCCCTTGAGAGCTATCATTACACCTATTTTATAGAGACCAGCAAACTATGGGCCAGGGAGGTTAAGTAACTTAGACCACATGGGTCACAATGCTAGGGACTGATTTAAGAGCAATGTAAACCAAGGTGTCCTGACAGGGAAGTGTAAGCTCTGACCACTATGCCACACACACAGCATGTCAAACACCACACAGCACGTCAAACACGACTGCTCATATGTGGGCTATTTCTGGGCTCATAAAAAATTACTGAAGGGAGTACGGTAGATTTCTACCAATACCGTGGGATGAGGGAAAGGCAAGCTACATTTGAGGTTTCCAAAGTCCACATCAGTAATCTGAAAGCATACATGAGGAAAAGCTTACGTGGTGGGGGTGGAGCCAGGGAGCCTCTTTTGAGCTCCAAGTCTAAATTACATTTTTAATTCTAATTACTTAAATGTATACATTTATAAATACGTATTTTAACAAATATTCACATGTATTTTATATACACATTATATAAATCACACAACACTAATGTGAAGCACTGTTCTAGATAAAATGGGAAAAATAAAATCATTTCAAGTCTGAAAAATAAGAGGTTAGGAATGGAAGTATTTAAAAGGCAGTTATTGAAGACATCTCTGAGGAGGTATCACAAAGACAGAAGCAATCTAAATGAAAAAAAGTGCCAGGCATACTTACAACAGTCCCTCTCTGAGGAACCTGACCTCAACAATTCTTACGCATAAAGATGCCATGACTTACCCACATGCATTAAATGAAACAAACCCCTATCCTGGATAATTAACTAGGAAGCCAATTATCAGGTCTGACCTCGTCTGGCCAATTGGGAATATCATCCCATCTAAGACTATAAAATCCAAGGATGCACCAAAAAGTGGTCTCTGGATCTACTGCAAGCTCAATGGTAGATTTATCCACAAAGCCTACTGAACTTTTCTAGGTTCAGTACTCTGTCCTGGGTGAGATAACCCACTATTATCTCCTCATTCCTGTTTTGCAGGAGATGCTTCACAAAGATAATGGTCAAACAGTTTGATACATAATGCACATCTGTAGATTAAGGCTCACTCAAATGTTATGACAACATTAAATATTGTGGCATATCTATTAACACTCTGAGGAACATTGGAGGTTTTGGAGAGTCTCCGGGAAATAAAGATCTACACCATTTCTATAACATGGTTAATAACATCTGTAGTTTTAATTTGCAGACACTGAAAGCAGATTAGTGGTTGCCAAGGGCTGGGGAGAGGATATGGGAAGGGACCGCTTTAAGGATAAGGGGCTTACTATGGATGAAAATGTTTTGCAACTAGATACGTGATAGTTGCACAACAATCTGTATTAAACGCCACTGAACTGTACATTTTAAAAAGTTAATTTTGCTATGTGAATTTCACCTCAATTGAAAAAAGTGAGGTCTTAAAAATCCCACATCCATCTCACTAAATTAACAGTACTTACACTTTTGTTCTTCCCTTCTACTACTATTGCTACAAAGTGTTTTTCAACTAACGAAAGATGTGGGGGAAGGGAAAGGCCCTTTTAAGTACACAGTAATTGTGTTAGTACAAAAAAAAACTGTCATTGTACAAATCCCTCTATTATTAGAGAAAGTACTCTTAACATCAAAAACTCGGTTACTTAAGACAGCAGTTTTGTTTTTTTAAACTCCCAGGCAGTGATGGGAAATATTACCCCAACATGCTGGAATAAATTGCACTTTATATATATAAAACATAATTTTAATTTTTAAGAATGAATACATTAAAAGAGCAAAGATACATTCTTATTCTTAACAAAATCAAGATGAAAAGCCGCTTACCCTGTTGCTAAGGACCTTCTGAACAGGCTCCGAGTCATCAAACACAACAAATCCAAAATTGGGCAACTTCCCGCCGCTGTTAATGCGCAGCTCCACCACATTCCCATAATCTGCAAGTGAAACACAATTCTCAAATAACTCAGAACATTCCATCTAAACGTTACATGCACACTGTCCAATATGACAGCCACCAGTCAGTCCCATGCGGCTACAGACAACCTGAATGCGGCTAATCCAAAGTAAGATGCGCCCCAGGTACAAAATTCACCCCGGACTTCAGACTCAGCACAGCCACAGGCAACAAAGCTCATGCTTCCAGAAGTTGAGATGTTTCAGATACACAAGATTAAATAAAATATTAAATTATTCAGTTTCTTTTTACCTTTTAAAAATGTCACTAGAAAACTTAAAATTACCTATGTGGCTCATTTTCTACTTCTACTGGACAGCTCTGTATTAGATGAATTTGGCATTTAAAACTCAATAACCTACTTTGAAAAAAATCTTTAAGCTCTGATTTGTCCACCTCATGAGGCAGGTTGCCAATGAAAAGCTGGTGACTGTCAGGGTGTCTCACGATTCTTCGCGGTTCAACATCACCTTGCTCACCAGCCTCACGGACTGAAGAGGAAACAAAAACAGCAATGAATTGGAAGAGAAACAAGACACCTCTCAGTAACTGCTCCATTCAATACTTTTTTCTCTAATGCTCAATACAGATAATTACATCAGTTCCACTATATAGACACATATATACATTTTTTAATCTAAGTACACAAATATCAACTGCCCTCCAACAAGCTCTCACCCTCAACATCCCCAAACTAGAGAAGCCATCCTTCTGAGCTCTCACCTGGTCTAGGTCCCCTCTGGGGAGGAACATTTATTCTCTGTTCCCGAACTCGTTGATCCCTCTGAGGCCTCTGCGGTGGAATCTGAGACTCAGGCTTAGACTCCGGACGAGGCTAAAAAATTTACACATTAACTTTTGTGTAAAAGCAAAGCAAGTTTAGTTTTTTTCTTGTGAAGTTTCCTAGCTAACAGTAATGCTTACACTAGAAAATGACAATTCTGTCACAAAAAAAAATAAAATAAAATAAAAGCCACCTTGTACCCTTCACTAAGTAACTGTGAAACCACGTTACACGAAAATACAAGTAAATTTGCCTAATATGAACTTCATCAGAAACTCACCTGTGAAGCCGGGACTTTAACAACATGAGGTGGTATCCCAGTAACTGGGACAGCTCCACTGGGTGGAAGGTTCTTACTGGTCACAGATGCCCAAGAAAAGGTCTAAGGGAACCACAACAACATTAGCTGATTATATCATTATCAAAACAACATGAAAGCTATTAGCTTTTGATTTCTTGTACATAATATACACATATTTTCATAGGCCGATGGAATTTTTAAGTAACTTGACATTCCTTCCTCCCCACTTTCAAATTTAGTACAAATACCCCTGAAGACTAGTTATCAAGTATCAGCAAAGAAAATTTCTCTTTCCAAAACCTCTGATTCTCTTGAACTCTATAGCATAAACACTGACCCAATTACACCAACTTTAGAATTATCTAGAATATGTTTTCAAGCCATATCAAAACCACCAAATTCTGTTATTTACTTCTTAATGATCTTATCTCCATCTCCAATGCTAGGACCCTAATCCAAGATATCATTACCTCTCTCCAGGAATACTATAATTAAGCCACCTAACCTGTCATAGAATCTCAATCCAGACAATTTACCTTTCTACCTGCTAGCTGAGGTCAATTCACTATTTCTCTTTCCTGCTCACCTATGAAAGCTTCCAGAGACCAAGAACCCTATTTACTTTACCAACAGTTCCTCTACTTAGAACGATGGCAAGTGAATTAACCATCAGGAATAAAAGGCATTAAAAGAACCCTGGTCCCATAAATATGGCACTAAAACATTCCTTCACGGAGTATCAAATGTAAAAGGTTCTGAGAGTACCGCTGACATCATCCTGACGTGATTCAGGGAGAGTCACTGAAAAGCTTCAAACTTTTGAAATCACAGATTCTAACTAGAAAAGTAGTTATATTTCAACAATGTTTCCACTTCCACTATTAAGTTATCCTCAAATGGATTTTACAGAAAAGGGCATGAAAAAAATCTGTTGTATCATGTTAGTTTTTAAAAACACAATCACTTGTTTCTTATAACAAGCACATAATAATTTGCAACTTCTAAGAGGAAATATTAAAAAGATGAGGGGTTTGTTGATATGGTGATAAAACAGCACCTGAAATTACTGGTCTAAAAAGTATTCAAAGTTTCCTTACAAGAGGGAAAAAAATTACTTTTGATTTGATAAAGCAATATGTATCTTACTTCTTTCTGAGGCATGGTCAGTATGTAAGAAATTTCCCTCAACAACCAACATGAAAATGCACCTACAAAAGTCAACTAACAACAAAAGAGATTTTTAAAAATAGACTGGAAATAGAGTAAGAATGAAGACACACTGCATACTCTCAAGTCCTCCTGCACGCTCTGGGCTGCGTCTGCAGGTGCTGGAGAAGAGCTCTTCTGAGCCTCCTCAGGAGGGCTTTCTTCCAACACTGGCTCAGACTTTTCCTCTTGGACTTCAGAAACAGGTTCCTGTTCTGGTTCTGGTTCAGGATCAGGCTCTGGTTCAGCAACAGGTTCTTCTAAATGTTCTTCTAAGTCATTGCTGCCACAGTAAAATTTGAGAAATATCATTCTGCCTCCACTGATTAAGCAAGAAATTCCTAAGTATTTAACTATAGAGACCTGAACCTAAAATTAGCCCCTCTCCCACCAAAAAAGATCTAAGAATCCCGTATCTGAGTATTAAAACAAGATAACTTGTTAAAAAAGCCCTCAATGAGCAATCTTACCTGCAGTCAGACTTGCTAAATTCTGATTAAGCAAATGCATCAAACAGATCAAAATGAACCAAACCAGTGTTTCTCCGTTAGAATCCCCAAACTATTACAATTTACCTACGACATATAACAAAATTCTAATAGGCTGTGGGGAGGCGGGAAAAGGGGAGTTGTTTAATAGGTACAGTTTCAGTTTTGCAAGATGATAAGTTCTAGTGATCTGTTGCACAATCGTGTGCAAATACTTAACACTACTATAAAGCACACTTAAAAATGGTTAAGGTAAATTTTATGTTACGGGGTTTTCACTACCAAAACAATCTCTTATAATAAACATACACAGAATTTTGGAGAAAAAAAGACATCAGTGATGACTCAGAATAGTTCTTAAACTTCCACATAAGTCACAGGAAATGTCTGTTAAAGCTTTAAGTGTATTCCCCTCTGAAATTCTAATGTGGTAGGTTTGTAGTAGGACAACAAATCTTCATTTTCAAGGAGCAACCCACGTGAGTAATGTATTCAGTCCATCACTAAAGGATACATCTGAACGTATCCTTTAAGCACTGAATGCTAATACTCACCCTGGGCATCAAGTAAATAATTCATTTCATTACTACCAAACATTTCTGTTCTGGTTACAGATTTAAAAAAAAAAGGAAAAAAACACCTTAACATACAGTCACACATTTGTTTTCTGGGCTAATAAATAAAATTCTTTATTGCTACTTAACTCATGTCTGAATTTCTGCCCGTTTCTGCCTAAATCCTTGTGCATGTTATAGTCCTCCCAAAGCACTTAATGCAATGCCTTGGTATGTTAAAAACTTGATAAATCCTAAATCTATTTTTCCACTTATGGCCAAGAAAAAACTAAACCACAAAGTGACTGCTGGACACTATTTAAGTAGTCCTCAGAGTACAATCTACATTAAACAAGTTATATATTTATGTTAGCTCAGAGACCAAAAGCAAAATCTTTCTTCTGGGAAATTATCATTATTTTCTGAGACTTCTGAGCATTATGGCTGCCCTGCAACAAAGACAAAGACTAAACAACCTGAATGCTCAGGCAGCTCTGGACAAAGGAACAAAGTTTTCCTCACCTGACAGTTTGATCATAGAAAGTTCCAGAATCATCAGGTACCACCTCAGGTGTCTGCTGTCTTTCTTCAGGTTCTTCCACTTCTTCTTCAGATTCTAAATGAGAAAAGAAATTTAAAGTAATGTGTACTTACTTATTCACAAACATACTTTCACAATGCTCATCACTATCAAAAAGGCAATGAAATAGGAAAAGTACACATACATAAAAAAGTAAAGAGAACAGGTCAATTGGGTAAAATTGTGACATGGGTTTTAAGGACAGAAATAAAGCTACTGTAGTGTTTGGGTTAAAAACATAGTCTGAGGTCACATTGCCAGCAACCCAGCTCTACCACCTAACTAGCTATGTTACATTAGCAAATTCCGTGCATCTCAATGCCTTAATTTATTAAATGGGAACAACAGTACCTAAAGTACTTATCCGTAAAGCTGCTGTATTAACACAATAAACAGGAAGCACTCAGTCTTGTCCCAGCCATACAGAAAACACTAAAACGTTAATTACTCTTACATGTTTAGAGACATCTCTCCATGGGTCTCTTGTGTTTCTGCACAGCTTACAGTTGAGGCAATGGCTACCCTTTGTTCTAGACTATCTTTTAAGAACATTTACACAGCAAACAGCCTCGAGAAGTGTCTCTCTCCAGAACAAAAGGCAGGCATGGCTGCTGCCCATCACAATATTTCCATTTCTTTAACCTACAGTTCTATCCTTGTAATATAATACACCCCACATTGCAACGCAGGTATCAGGTAACTTCTTCAGTGTCCCAAGGAAACTGGCAAAAAAAATGTTACTATTGTTGCTGTGAGTACAACCTGTCTACTTCTGACTTAGGAGTTTTATGTCTTCTACCAGTATCAGTGAACCAGGCTAACCTGTTAGCTTCAGGTAGGTTAAAAATCTCAAAGCCTTCCTATGTCTTGACAATCAGAAGTTACTAATGAAAAACAGAGAGAATTATGAAAATCAAGAAACCTATACTCTTCAGGTCAACCTGAGGCCATCAAAAAAAAAAATTTAGACAAGTTACTTACCCTCCTGAGGCTCAGTGACAAAGCCACCAAAGACCTCATCTTGGTATCTGAAGATATCATTGTGAACATAGAACTTATTTGCAACAGAGCCCTGTAATGCCAACAAAACGGTTTCATTTATTCGGCAGACTTTTAAAAAGCCAAATCACCCTACACCATGATTCCCAAGTGAAGGCAGTATTGCCCAGTCCAGGAGACATGTGGCAATATCTGAAGACATTTTAATTTTAGGTTTCCCATCAGAAGTACAACTGACAACTACTGAGTAGAGGGCAGGGATGCTGCTATAAACATCCTACATTACACAGGACAACCTCCACCACAAAAAATTATCCAGCCCAAAACGTTAACAGGACCAATGCTGAAAAAACTCGGCTCTACTAAGGCTGTTAAAACTACATTCAAGTAGACTGCTTGAAATACCACCGGATGAATATCTAAAAGTTGATAAAGCTCTAAATATTTAAGATGCCATAGCCCACACTTCGAATAATTTCTTCAACAATAAATACGTATTACCAACTGCAGCAGAAATTCAAAAATTCCCTAAATCTGTGGGAGGTGCAAGACACAGCTAAGTCTAAATCCAACTATGTCATTTACCAGATATTCAATTTCTAAGGCACTTTCTTCATCTATAGAATGAGACACCAACTTATACCTTAGAGTTTTGAGAACTGAGACAGTTTATGTGACAATGTATTATACTAAGGTAATGTTAGAATCTTCCTCTTTAAAGGAAAAAGAACTACAAGTAAACTTAGAATTAGCAATTATCCCATGATTACTTGAATATTTAGAAGTTCATCAACAATTTTAACACTACAGATAATCTAAGTCTTCCTCTAAAAATCTTGACTAAAATGACTCCGTGTAATTTTTCACACTGACAGTTGAGTTATTTTATATTCAAACAGAAAGTGATAGAGGTTTTAGACTTACTATCCTTCAATAGAAAATTATCTTAAGGGTAATGCTGGAGAAAACACTGAATCAGTAAGTCCTCATGGAGCCCCTTCCTCGTCCTCATGCAGATAGGCTTCCTGACTGTGTTCAGTCTAGACAAGCCAGGAAGACACTACAAATGCAACTGAGCAACATAAACCTTCTGCCCTTTCATGGTAAACATAATAACTAAAAAAACAGGGCTCCGTGAAGAAACAGCTAATCCCAGACCTTGGGTTGGGGCAGGAGCAGAGAGTGCAAGATGAGCCTGACGCATTTTGTGCCACCAAGTGCTCCCCACCTCTCACCCTCTCCATGCAAAAAAAAACAAACAAAAAACCAAAACCAAAAAAACCAGAAACCAGCTCAAAGGAGCTCACACTTAGCAGATCTGGGACATGTGAGACATCTATATAAAGTTAGTAATTCATTAAATCCATTAAATAAACAAAGACCCCATGACAGATAGAAGAAAAGGCAAAGTTCTTTACAAAGAATGCCAACTAATAAATATAGAATGAAAGAACCATCAAAGTAGCAGCTGATTCTGGCAAGTATCAGTGAATGCTGAAGAGTGCCTACAAGTGTGATGAAGAACAGAGTACGTGCACAGTCTCAAAGACTGACCCACAATTTACTTATTAATGAGGAAAGTAAAAATACTAGTAATAGACTAAATGACATCAAGAGCCTAATATGAGGTACAAAAGACATAACCTAAACCTAACCACAAGGAAGTATCAGATAATTCAAACTGAGCCATTCTACACAGAAACTTGTGTCCTCTTTAAACATGTGAACACCTTGAAAACCAAGATTAATGAATTAAAGCAGATTAAAGGAGCTTCAATAGAAAACACAGCTATGAACAACATGTAAGCCTAGACTGAATCTCGGACAAGAGGAAAAAAATTACTATAAAGATTATTATTGGGACAACTACCAAAATTTAAATATGGACTGCAGATGGATAATGGTATTGTATCAATACTTCCTGAACCTGGTAACTATACTATGGTATGGAAGGCAGTTCCTTACTCTTAGGAAATGCTCACTTAAGTATCTGAGGATAACTAGGTATCGTATCTCCAACTTCTCAAAAGGTTTAGAATTAAAAATGACAGGTAAGTAGAAAAAGAATTATAAACGAGTGGGCAAATGTTGACAGTGGCTCTAGGTCAGATATATGTAGGAATTACTACAGTACTATTATTCAACTTATCTGTAAATTTACAATTTCAAACCGTTCATTGTTTCTTTGTTCATACCTCAGGAGCAAGGACAAAAGTCTGCATGAATCTCCTCAAAGCCTGGTTGTTATTAGAGAGCAAGCCCATCACCTGGACCACCACGCCGTCATTCAGAGTGGCATGAGCATCAACGTGGCGGATCTTAGTGTGGCAATTGGTGAAGTTTTGTGACATAACTTTCCTATGGATTTCCTAAGGAATTAAGACAAGAGGTAAGGACTCAAAATTTACACAGCCCTCAAGAACAACTAACTTTCTAAGACAACAAGCATAGAGAATTTACCTACGCATATTCAAATTACAAACTACATGGACCCCACTGTAATTTGTACACTACATTCCCAGTGGCCACCTTGAGACTTTTAAAATTACTGTCCTGAATTAATATACCTAAAAATGTTTACAACAGGTGATCCCCATACTAAAACCAATTATTTCCTAACAAAAAAACTTCAAAATATATCATACAAAACGAACAAAAATGACAATCTAAGCTCTTCAATGACTATCACATAAATCAAATAGTTACTGAATACCTAAATCTCCAAACAGAAGTTGATCTTCTTCAAATAGATTTGATCTTCAAATATCAATAACTCTATTAAGCATGTATCCACTTCAGTTTTATGGGTTATGTTCTAGTTACTTAACAGCTTACGTAAAGCTTGTTATGCTTACTTTCTGTCCATAGACCGCATCTGCTGGCTTTCCATTTGAATCCAATCCCCCATGAACATAAGAAGAGTTCTTTCCATAAAATCTGTAAAACAAGAAGATACTTGACATCTTTAAGTATCCTAAGACCAAGTATTTACTGTTCATGTTTGGTACCCATCTGCCTCACTGGTACGTTCTTGGAGGCTGGAATGTGTTTCTCTTTTCATCTTTGTATACAAATCATACATCCATCCCCTACATGTCACAGAATTTGCACAATGGGAATGAATTTGGTCAAGGAAGCAGAACATTTATCCCCTCCCCCCACAAGTCACAAGTTCCAGGTCTCAGGACAATTGTGTTGGGAAGGATTTGGTAGTTCATGTCAGAAAGATCACTTAAAATACAAGCCCTTGCTTTCACTCAAGGTGAAAACAGACAGTTTTGATACAGACGAGGACACCTATATTCTCCACAGATTTGAGAGTCCTTTTATATCTGAGAATACATATGTTGAATTCCCATTAAAAACCCAGTAACTCAGGCAGACAGATGGGTCTGAGGAGTTTTCCAACAATTTCTGCTGATGCATCAACATGTTCAGACTTAATTCTTCATAGCTTTAATTCATCTATATCCTCATCTACTTCATCTTCATTACAATACTCAATTAGGAAAGTGCCAACCCTATCCTAATCACACACACAGGGAAAATGCCCTAACTCAGGGGATAACCACTATTAGGATTTCTTGATCAGATGAAAAAGTTTTCACATACAAGCTTATTCATGTCATTCTGCATCCTGATTGTACTTTCCTCTGCCCCTCAAAAAGGGACAGATCTGGGCCCATGTAGGTCTCAAATCTACCTTACAACTTTTAAAGTCACTGAGAGGCTGCATGTTAGCCAATCAGTTCATTGCTGGCTAAGCCACCTTTCATCGTACCTTAGAAATTAAATGTGAAAAAAGGATTGTTTGAATCAAAAAATAACAATATTGACCAAGAAATACATTAATGTATATGGTTAGTTTCTTTCATCTCCTGCTCCATTTTAAATTCCAAATTTGTCTAACTGCAAAGGGCACAGAATACAATTTTAAGAAAAAATACAACGAAAAGGGAAAAAGAAAAAAAGCTGAGACTTATTCTATCACTTTACTAAGTGTGAATACCAAATTTTGAACCTCTTAATATCTTTACCTGTAAAATGAAGTTAGCGCTCCTACAATGCCTTACTAAAAGGTTTTTATAAAGATCAAGAGTAAAAAGGTTAAGTGTTTCAGAAATTGTGAAGCCTTAAAAAAAAATACAAGAGATATTTTACATTTTCAGAGTCAGGACTCAACACAATTTATAAATATTCTTTTACACCTAATAGTCACGTGGTATACAATATGCAATCAGCAGAGTACAGAGGAAAAATAGTTCTGGTCTGACAAATACACATTTTGAAATTTCTAAGAAATATTTTAAGTTCACATAAATAGACAAGAGTTTTGTATAATGCAGCATTGTTTGTAGGAGGAATTAATGGAAGCAACTTACATATTCATCATTAGGAGATTAAGTATAAGCTACACCTCTGGAAAATAAAAACCCTGAATACTAAAATTATACTATAATTAATGTGGTATGTGTACTACCTTTGTAAGATGATTAGATTTTCAACTAAAAAAGCTAAAACATAGTATATTAAAAACATTGGCATATACACAGAAAAACTGTTAGCACTGTTTTACTAAAGACTTTCATGTTTATTTCATACATCTGTTTTAATTTACAAGCATAAATCATTTCCACTAAAAAGATACCCAATATTTTAAAGCATACCAACACAAAAGTAAGTCACTACAAGAACAGTCTTATATCTTCAATGCATTCTTACTAAATTTATGATTCACCAGAACAGCAAAACAAAAAACGGCAAAAACAAACAAAAGCATAAACATGTTACATTTCCAGGCATTATTTTTCTGGTAATTTATAGGTAACAGTCCAGTTTTTAAACATCAGTACATTCTATTTAATATTATTACATAATTTTAACAGTCATCACTTTTTGGTACTTATGTACAAAACACTATAATGCAACAATCCTACAAGGTGCATGATGAATAAGAATCTCAAGTGTAAGCACCTACATAATAAAACACAGAATTAGATGATGCCCAGGAAACAAAAAGTTTTACCTGTGTAGCATGTCTGGGGCCTGGTTCAGCAGTGTGTAATACTGTCTCACAAATTCCCGCCCGACCAGCAGGGGACTAGGCTTCTCCATAACCATTGCTTTGGTCGATTCAACCTGGGGGAAAATAGTCAAATATGTTCAATCTGAAAGATCCAGTACAAGGGGGAAAAGTGGCAGGGCAGAAGACTGAATCATTTAGCTAAAATCACCTCATGAACTAAAAAGATCATGCCAGCAATTCTTGGTTTTTAAAAGGAATAAACAGTTATTAGAACAAACAAAACCCACATACATCAGTGAGATTTTAGACATTCAAATTTACTGCAATCAGATGAAAGCTAGAGGAAAAAGTCACTACAAAGAATTAGTCCATCATTATTACCAATATTCAATTTTCTTAAGCTGAATATAAGAACCTCAAAAGTACACAATTCCAATATGCATCCTATCATAATTTTTCTAAGCTATTAAACTCAATTAAGATCATTTCAATTGTTAGTGGGGTGGGATGGTATAGCTCACTGGTATAGTGCTAGGTTCAACCCCCAGTACCACCATTAAAAAACTAATTAAATAAACCCAATTAACAGTCCCCCCCAAAAAGATTGCTCCAGTTGTAACATTACAACATATTTTTATTTATGACAATATTAGATTCAAGGGTGTTAAGTCAATATGTATGCCTTTGACATAAAGGAACATGTTATCATATTTTTGGCCAAACTATAGAAATTTTTAGTATCTTTGAAAAAGAAAACACAAAAAATTCTAAATATGCTGAGTTTATAACAGGACCAAAAATAAGAAAATAGAACAGGCAAAAGGTAACAAACAAGATGTTTTAATGCAATCAAAAAATCCCTATGACCTTGAAATTATGACTTTAAAGTTAGTATTGCTGAGTGTTAAGAAAGGCATCTGGAAAAAAAAGGAACCCTCCTACTTTTGGTGGGAATGTAAATTGGTGCGGCCACTATGGAACACAGTATTGAGGTTCCTTAAAAAGCTAAAAACAGAGTTATCACATGATCCAGCAATCCCACTCCTGGGCATATATCCAGAGGAAACTCTTAATTCAAAAAGATACATGCACCCCACTGTTCACAGCAGCACTATTTACAATAGCCAAGACAGGGAAGCAACCTTAATGCCCGTCGACAGATGAATGGATAGAGAAGATGTTTTGTGTGCGTGTCCGTGTGCGTGTGCGTGGTGGACTCAGCCATTAAAAACATGAAATAATGCCATTTGCAGCAACATGGATGGAACTAGATATTATTTATATTAAGGGAAGTAAGTCAGAGAAAGACAAATATATATCGCTTATATGTGGTCTAAAAAAAAAAAGATACAAGTGAACTTACTAACAAACTGGAAATAGACTCACATAGAAAACAAACTATAGTTACCAAGGGGAAAGGGGTGAGGGGGACGGATAAATCAGGAGTTTGAGATCAACATATACACACTACTATATATAAAATAAACAAGGACCTACTATATAGCACAGGGAACTGTATTCAGTATCTTGTAATAATCTATAATGGAAAAGAATCTGAAAAAGAATATATATGCATAACTGAATCACTTTGCTGTACATATGAAACTAATACAGCATTTAAATCAACTATACTTCAATAAAAATAAATAAACTTTAAAAATGAAAGGCACCTAGCACACAGTAAGTTCTCAATTACTGTCAGTTACTGTCGAAAAAAAAAAAAAAATTTATGGTTACCAGTGGGGAAAAAGTGGGGGGAGGGATAAACTGGGAGTCTGGGACTTGCAGATACTGACTACTATACATAAAATAAACAACAAGGTCCTGCTGTATAACATAGGGAACTATATTCAATCTCTTGTAATAGTCTATAATAAAAAGGAATATATATATAACTGAATCACTATGCTGTACTTCAGAAATTAACACACTGTAAACCGACTATACTTCAATTAAACAAAACAAAACAAAACCTTTCAAAAAAATATTTGGCAAGGGATAATCCAACTTTTCATTTGAGAAGATAAAATCATTCTGAACTTAAACATAAAAGCAAATGGAGGCATGTGTAATTAGCTACAGCATAAAGGGAAATGGAGAGAAATTTTATTTCAGTCTCCTTAAAGGATGGGCAAAACAGATTGAGTTTGGTTGGTCAACTCCTGCACATACAATGTGTGGAGATGTTTATCTTCACTTACTGCATTTCTGCATTATTCTTAAATAACTGTCCCATTTACTACCCGTTTCACCAAAATCTAAGAAATTAGACTAAGAACAGCAATCTAACTGCATCATTGATACTGCCATGGAGTCTCATTATAATAATAATTTCAAAGTAATATTTTGTCAAATATTACTTCTCACATCCAATCTTCCCAAGGAGAATGATGAAAATCCTCTAGGTTATGTATCAAAGGTAAGAAAAATAAGAATTTATTCATCAGTCCTAGAACTTCTCCTTTCCCTTTCTTTGAGCTTATCTAGATAATTCATACGAGTTAATGTCAGTCATCTGGGTTTCCTCCCACTAGCTTTGCATCCTCCAAAGGCTGACATTCACACTGCCAATACTACATGGTTCACTGAAGTGGAAGCTCCAGCTCCTCAAATCTCTCCTTTAAGCTCTTCTATAATAAATACCAACCAATCAGCACAAGGGAAACGGTAGCACTGTTTAAAAATATTCCCATCAATTATAATTTAAAAAAAAGAAAAAGTAATATTCTGTGTGTGTAAATACACATAGCACATTAGTGAAAAGGAACAATATTGCTTCAATGTAAAAAAAAAAAAGACTGATTTCCTAACTTAAAATAGCCAAAGGCTTCTAGAATTTTACATAAGTCACGGTTGGATAAAAATAACATTTTGAAAGAAGGAGGCAAGCTTCTTCCTAAGAGTTAAGTTTTTTAAAGACCACTCCTTATGTAACTTTTCTTAGGCAAGCCCCCAAACTTGAGTGTCTGACACATAACAGGAATAAAAACTTCCTTTCATTCAACATTCTCAACACACATGGAGGTTAGAACTTTATGAGCTAAACAGATTTCTGATCATCTATTTGCCAGGTGGAACTGTCCAGTTTTCCAGAATTCAGACTGACAGCAGATACAACATTTTTTTTTCAATTACTATGAAAACTAAACTAAGGTGCTAGAAATCATAAAGTAGTTGCCTAAGAGGGAACAGACTGGAAACGACCTGAGAGGAACTAGCTGGAGGGAGAAATGTTCATATCTGAGTGATGGTTACCTGCATAAAACCAACTTTTCAAACAGGACCCTTAAATTCTGTAATTTTATTGTTTGTAAAGTATGTCTCACAAAATCAAAATAAAAATGCCTCCACATGAAAAAAAATAATCCTTAAGACACCATAAAATATATTAGAATTATTAATACTGAACCATCCAACAGCACCAGTGACTATAAAATGTTAAGTGAAGATCTTCAGTAATCTAAAATCACACACTGAAAGTTCTGTGAATAACCTTATCTATCTGATGACCATTCTCAGTAACAAAGAAAATGCAGAAAATTTTGGTGATTTGAGCCCAAAATATTTTGAGTCTATAAAAAGAGACTCAATCCTCATTAGAAAAAATTTATTTGCTAAATCACTTCCCTGAAATTTCCATCTTTATTTTTGCCCGAAACATAAAACAGAAGCAATGACAAACGTGTAAACTAACATCACATCTTCTGAGAATACACTAATCCCACCCTGGTTCATTAGAACCCTAAATTCTATCAAATCTAAAATAATGAAAGTAAACAAAATCAAATGATGAGGTTCTACCAGTTACTGACCCACTATGACAATTATCAACTATGTATATCAATGAAAAGACATGCTAAAAAGTTCCCAAGATTCTCCCTCATTTATTAAATACTGAAACACTGTCCTTTTAGGAAAGGTTTTACAATTTTGTACATCTATGGGGACTCTTGCTGTTCCTTATATAACAGCATATGCCAATGGATGCATTATTGGTTGGACTATGAAGCATGTACCAAAATCAGAAATAGGAGACTAATTACATAGTCTTATTACTTTAATTATCAACAGCAATTCCCCCTTCCCCATGCCCTTGTGAAGACTCGAAGACTTTCTAAAAGATATTTGCCACTCTCCCAAAACGAAGTAAGTTCCTTGAACATTCCAAGTCATTCCAATTTGGACATCACTCTCTTGGAACACAGCTTTCAGACTGCCAGGATAAACTTTTTGCAGTATGTATCACAAATCACTCAAAAACAGTATTCCTAAGAATGATATAAACTGAAATCACTGTAGTCTAGAAAGATGAGTGATGAAACAAACAGGACCTGGGAGGGAGGAAGGTAAATCACTCACTTTCACCAAAGGAAATTTATTTTCCACTAATTTTATATCCAAGTTTGTAATACTGTGAATGTCGTAATATGCCAAAACTGTACTGTATGATAGGGACAGGAAAATATGTTTTCAAATTTCCCTTAAAATTCTTTTCAAGAAATACTGAAAAGGTCCCAGATTAGGGGAAGGGGAAAGAAAGAACAGTTCTTGGCCTCAAGAAGTAAACAAGGCCACTTAGAAATACTTAAGGAATTAAAAGAAAAAATACTTAAGGAAGCCCCTTAATGCTTAATGGAGAGGATCAAATCTGTATACAAGACACTTTTGATTAAAAGCAAGTGTGCTGAAATTTTTTAAAAAGGGGAGGAGAGGATAGAGCTCAGTGGTAGAACACATGTGTAGCAAAGAATTAAAATGTTTAAAAATTTTTAAATAAATAAATCAATCTAATTACTTCCCCCCAAAAAGCTTACACAAAAAAGCATTAAAAAAAAAGATGGGTGGACATAGCTAGCTCAGTGGTAAATCATGTGGTCAGCATGCACAAGGTACTAGGTTCAATCCCCATTACTGCTCTTTTTAAATAAATAAAATTAAGAAAAAAGCACTTAAAAAAAAATACTTGAAGCAAAGATAGTAAACATGACCTTCAGTTTACCAGTTCTAACCGAACTGATAAATCCAAGACTAGTAAAGTATGGCAAATGAACTTTGAAACCAAGTATTCTATTTTAAAGCAGTAAATGAGTACTTGACATGCAACAAAGGGAAA